TACTTACACCAAATCAGGCAATACCAATTTTTGACCTGACAACCTTGCCACTGCCGAAATGCAATCACTATAAAAGCTCGGCGACACTTACAATATTTATTAGTTCACAACAGGTTCACTGTTAACGTTGAATAAACATGTTCTCAAAAGTAAGACTACTTTTTAATAAATTGTAGAGATATTAAATATCATGGTGCTATTTTTGTAGAGTTGACAAACATTTATTATATAATATACATATATAATTCTATGTAATAGATTAGCATAGCATTTCACTATTTTGTAATATCTCTTTACATATATATTTTACTTTATTCAACCATCAATAACATACAGTTACTAAATTGTTACAGATTTTAGCACTGAGCGCCGTTCTGGCAGTGTCTGCGGCAGGGCTCTTGCCTCAACCACACTACTCATCTGCTGCAGCTGTCTCCTCACAGAGCATCGTGCGTCACGACCAACCTCAGGCTATTCACTCTGCACCCGTCGTCGTACACGCCGCCCCTCTCGCCTACCACGCTGCTCCAGTCGCCACTTATGCGGCTCCCGCTCATTATTCCGCCGGACATGCCGTGTCCTCTCAAACAATCTTGCGTCATGACCAGCCCCATGCCGCAATCGGTATTGCTCCCGTATCTTACGCAGCGGCACCAGCGCACTACGCCGCGCCTATCATCAGCCACTCTGCTCCCGTGACCAAGTTTGTTGCCACCGCACAACACGAGGAATACGTGAGTAAATCATATAAACAGTAAAGCAATATTAAAGATAACATAAAACAAAACTAATAACAAATATTTTATTGTAACGTAAGCTTCGTCGTACTAAGCAGTACTTAACCACGTATTTTTAATTCAAGGCTCATCCTAAATACGACTTTGCATACTCCGTGGCCGATGGACACACTGGCGACAACAAGTCCCAACACGAGAGCCGCGATGGTGATGCTGTGCACGGCGAGTACTCGCTGCTTGAAGCTGATGGCTCAGTACGCACAGTACAGTACACCGCTGACGACCACAACGGGTTCAACGCCGTAGTCAGCCACTCGGCTCCCGCGCATCATAGTGCTTCAGCGCCCACACATTATCTGGCTCATCATTAAGTGACAATCCCTATCGATAACTTTGGATTAGTTATATAATTATTATTAAATAATAATTTATTAAAATTACTCGTTCTATATCTTTACCGTTTTATTTATTACTAACTGTTCCCCGCGACTTCGCCCGCGTGTTATTTGGGATTTTCATTTTTTGCGTGGAAGCCTAATTCTTTTTCTAAAATAAAAGTAGCCTAAGTTACTGCTTGTGACATCAGCTATCTGATAGTGAAAATCCCGTCAAAATCGGTCCAGGCAGACGGACAGACAGACAGACAGACAAAAACTTTAAAAATTGTATTTTTGTTATTAGTACCGTATATACTTTCATATATATTTAGTACAAAGCTCTGATTTTGACATTATAAACGGACACTTCAATTTTATTTATTTGTATAGATTAAATTTAATACTGATCCATAATTTAGATTAAATGACGCTGTTTATATGTAAATATATATGTAAAATGAAAACTACAGTATATATTTCATCATATATTTCATGTGAAATTGAAACGCGTCGGACAAAGAAAAAGCGGACAGAGCGAGAAGGATTCGCGCCCCTACACTGTTAATATTTCCGTAATCCGCTTTTACAAAAAAATTTAAACACGTGATAGCTTACAACTTCGCATTTTTTGTATTTAATAAATATTTTCAAATTAACAAAATGCTATATTTCAACCCAATCTAATCAAATGACTGTGTTAGTGCATCGTCCTTATTCTATAATAAATGAAGTTTTTTTACGACAATAAGGTGGTTCTAAATGGCATGGAACTGAAAACGTAAGTATTTTTAAAGAAATAAAAAAATAAAAGAAAGTACAAAATTTCCCTTCACTTTTGTAATTAAATATGTAAGCATATTTGTGTTTAGTAATAAAATCATCAATTTCGCCCTCGTATGGTAGCAGTGCACTGCGTGGGGCGCAGCGCAAATACCGGTATCCGACGCATGCGCAAGTTCACATCGCTATAATATTTCGTCTCAATTATTCTGACGACTTCCAAAAAGAGATGGTACTCAATTCGACTGTATTTTTATGTGTGTTACCTCATAACTTTTTACTGGGTGAACCGATTTCGATGATTATTTTTTTATATGAAATCTGTTACATCTCGTGTGCAATTTGATCAGTGTCAGACTAATAGTTTTTGAGTTATTCTTAATAACTTATTGTTACGGCCCGCAGCTGCCCCTGCAAAGGTCGCCCTAGCCGGGGACCCATAGCAGCCTGCAGGAGCCCCTGGGGGAACAACCCCCCGACAGGGGGCGCGGCTGAGCGCCCCCGCCCGTGGGAGTCGAGGGCTCGGGAGAGCCCTGAGAGGAAACGCCGTTCGCACCCAGACACAAAACGGCATGGTGACAGCCCTGGCAGTGCGATGGCATCACTTTCTAAATACAAATTACTACGCGGCTCAAATACAAATTACAAATTAACAAATAACAAATACAAAAAAAATTAACAAGTAACAAATACCGTCCCTATCAAATCAAGTTAAATACAAATTACACAATTACAAATTACTATTTATTGGATCCAATACAAATTACAATACAAATAAAGATACACATCACAGTTGATCTACAAAAAATGCCTCGCTCAGACAACCGACCTTTCGACAATTAGTCTACTATATTTATACGAAAACGATAATTATCCGATTACGTGAAAACCTTATCTACCTAATCAAAGTACCTAGCCTTAATAAAATATGAGCACGTTGTAATATTGTGTTTGTGTTTAATAATTGGTACAAAATTTTACGCTATTAATAAAGAGCTTACTTGGTAGCGCCATGCTGCAGCTATATTAGTGGTATAGTTGTAGCACGAATGGGTCGGCTCGACCGGGGAAGGACCACGCTCTCACAGAATACCAGCGTAAAATAGCAGCAATGCTGCTGTGTTTCGTATGGTGAGTGTAGAGAACCGGAGACCCATTTTACTAGAAAAGAGGCATTCTATCTTAGTCCTCAAGGCTGACAACGCATCTGCATTTTAATTCGCAAACGAAGATAGATGCAGATGTCTATGGGCCACATCAGCCACTTACCATCGGGTGGACTGTGTGCTCGTTTGTCACCCTAATTCTATATAAAAAAAACTACGGTAAGTACCTATACTTAACAAAACTTCCGCTTGCTCAACCTACTGGTGCGGCTTTGAAATCTACCCGCTAACAAAAAAGTAAGCAACAAAGGAAAATAATTTTATTATTACGTATTACGATCGGGCGTGATTGTAGACACAAAATTAAACCAATCCGACCACGCTCTGCTACCAAAAATGTTACGGCCCGCAGCTGCCCCTGCAAAGGTCACCCTGGCTGCGGCCCATAGCAGCCTGCTCGACGGGCAGACACTGGTCGGACCCAAATGGCCACATGGAAGAATTCCTATCATAATAAACTGTATGGGAGAATGCTAGGAAAATATAGCACTTACCTGTTTCCGACTCTAAGATCGCACCAAGGCTCGGTCAGGCCGTAAGTGGGTGTAAGGTGAATGGCAAGTAGTTTTCAGTGATGTGTAAATGTCTGAGACCTGGACCAGTTTAGGCGACCAGCAGCGGCCGAGTTCCAGGCTGCCCCACAATGCTGCATCGCTCCAGCAGGCTCCGCCGCTGGACCATTTCTTTCTTTATTGTCACTATTTCAGTCTATTAGCTTCATTGTACAATTAACTAACTTAAACTCGCCTAATTCCACATTCGTTGTAGAATCGAACACGTGATACCCGACACAATATGGACAGTAGTTCAAAATTCGACATTCAACGTCCCGGATTCACTTATCACAAATAATTATAAATAGGGAACTAACGCGATCTCTTAATGAGTCATACGGTTCAGCGTTAAACACAACTAAGTTCCTTCATTCAACACCAAAACACCACGCCGCGAAAAAAATTCAAAATACGCCTCGTTGACACGTAAAACTAACAAACCAGCCAACACAAAAAAGGGCACTTAACGCTACGGCACAATTACAATGATTTCCAGACAATCAACCGGGAGACGCTCTCGAACAAGGAATGCGCGGTTCGAATTCTAGACCGTATATCTACTAGGCGTGAGCGTGCGTAATTCCGCATCACCCGAACGAGTTAAATATTGCGAAAGTCACATATCCACGGAGCGAAGTAACACGCGCTAAATCTAACCATCTAGACCCTACCGGTCACGTGAACTTCTGCCGCGATAACCGATAGACGCGAATTTCCCGCATCGCGGCCAGCGAGCTACTCATGTTCTTCGCCCACGCGTCGAGCGTCGGCACACGGCCGCCCCACCTGGCGGCGTGTACCTCACTTACATACCATCGGGTGACGTGCCAGCTCGAACGCGATATGACGGCGTTCAAAATGACCAATTTTGGGCATAAACACTTATATTGAAGTCGGCTGTACAAAATTTTAAATTTCAAATTAAAATGTAACTAGACCAACCATAGCGATCATAAACATGAAAGAAAACAGATATGAAAAGTGACAATATTTTTATATAATTATTATATACACGAAGCGTGCAAATTTGTAACAAATTGGTTCTATATTAACCTTCAAGCGGGAGCGCGTAGTTGAATCGACAGCGCTTGGTACATTTTTATTCATATTATTATTATTACTTATCACATTTATTTCTCATTTCTGGTAGCCTGTCGCTATGTCATTGGAAGTAAAATAAAGAATAAACTGTCGCTCGGGGCGCTCCCCCCACTCCACAGATCGCAATTGTTTTAGTCCCGGTGCAGTCGCTGAAAAGACTACACGCGCCTATCGTCGAAAATGTTACGCGCCACGCTCAACGCGACATACCCTCGTTCACGCTCGTAATAGTTCTTCGGCCATCATTCAATATTACCGAATTAAGCTTGGATTTTTTTATATAAAATGAGTCGTGGACGGCTACCAAAAAATGCAATACTCGTGGAATTGCTAAGAGAAGACGAAGAAGAGAGTGAATCAGAGCTCAGCGACCAAGGCTCTGAAACTTCCGACCACATCGTTGCAGAGGAACCTCGATCTGCTGAGGAATCAAACTGCTCGGACTCAGAAGAAGATGATTTGCCACTTTTAGAAATAAGTATCTGTTTTACAGGGCGTGATAAAGTAACGAAGTGGCAAAAATCTAACAATAACAGAGTGAGGCGTCAAGTTCAAAATATTCTCACGGAAGATGCGGGCACTCGTAGGAATTGTGTGGGGGTGACAACATTTACGCAAACCTGGAGTTTATTCATTTCAGAGAATATTATTGAAAAAGTTGTTAGATATACCAACGAATTTATTCAAAAAAAAAGCGCCATTGTATAAACAGAATACGTGACTGCAAACCGACAGATGCGGTGGAAATTCGAGCACTTTTCGGATTGTTGTACATAGCGGGATCCTTGAAGATATCACACGCCAATTTAGAAGATTTATATGCAAGTTATGGGACAGGTATACCTATTTTTCCTACTACTATGTCAATAAAAAGAGTAAAATTCCTACTGAATTTTTTGCGGTTTGATGATGCTACTACACGACAAGCTCGTCATACTCTAGACAAAGCTGCGCCAAAAAGAGAAGTTTTAGATATGTTTACACTGTCTGTCAAACTGTTAGCCATATTCAGTGGGAGAGAACGTTGTAATCGATGAGGTGATGGTTGGCTTTCGAGAAAAATGTCCCTTCCAATGGTACATGAAATCAAAGCCCGACAATTACGGGATCAAACTTTATCTATTAGATGCTGCTACGTTTTACGTCCTAAATATTGAACTTTATGCTGGCAAGCAGCTTGAAGGCCCATATCAGTTGAGTAATGCTGCGGCAGACAGTCGTGAAGAGGCTAATTACACCAATTTCTGTAACTGGAAGAAACCTTACCATCGACAGTTGGTATACCAGTATGCCGCAGATGAACGATTTGGCCAAGGATTATAAGATTTCTGTTGTGGGTACCATGCGTAAAAACAAGAAAGAAATACCTCCTTGCTTTATAGGTAAAAACTGACCTGAATAGTCAAGTCAATTTGGATTTTCAGATACAGCGACACTCGTATCTTACGTGCCTTAAAAGAAAAGATCTGTAGTTCTTATATCATCACTTCATTGTGCTGCAGAAACTGATGAAAGTTCAAATCAAAAGCGCAAACCCAGCATCGTTACATTTTACAATAAACAAAGAGGGGTGTCGATGAAGTCGATAAAAAAGCAAAAATGTATTCGGTTTCAAGGAAGAATAATAGATGGCCATTGACACTCTTCTTTCGTCTTCTGGATATTGCAGGAATAAATAGTATGGTGATATTGAGGGCAAATAATGTGACTCTACGGAAAAGTCGAATGTATTTACGGGTATTAGGCACTGAATTGACAAAAGAGTACGTACGTCCAAAGAAGATCAACGATTTTAGGCCTTCCAAGAAAACTAAAAAAAAAACATAAGGAAGCATTTGAATATGGAGGATAGTGCTGCTGATACAGAAGCAGGTAAATCCGGCACATGCAGAGGAACCTGTAAAATATGTCCAGCCAAAAAAAGGAGGCAATCAAAAACGCAATGTAAGTTATGTTGAAAAATATTTGCAGAAGTCATACAACATTTATTTGCAATCAATGTTATATGGACGAAGAAACTAATTCTGATGAAAACTAAACCAAAGTTAATTAATTCTTATTTTTATTTTGTAATTTTTATTATTAGACTAGGTATATAAACTATTCTGAGATATGTAGAAGGCTTTTGTGTTCCTAATTTTTGTTTTGACTCAAAGAATATTTGAGTTATGTTAATTAATTTAATAATTGTTTCTTTTTCATAATTTTAATAACTTTTTTTGACAAATCAGACTTTAAGGAAAATGATAATATATCGGAGTACAAATAAATAAATAAATATTGAATAATTAGTGCTCTGTTTCTCTTATTCATCCCATAGGTCTTTTCGGTTACGCGCGCTCGCTCCTATTACAAATGACCGCGCGCCCGCTTGAATGTTAAGATTGCATTTATTCTTGTGCGAATCCCCTATAATTACGTTTCACAATCTATATGCCTTGTACGGTGCGGTTACAGTGACCATAACCGTTACGCCTATGAAAAATCCTATAGATTGCATCCTATAAATCCTCATATGGGAGATCTTGCCATAGATGCCACGCTTTGCAAGTGAGTATTAGTAGTTATTAGGAAAACTCTGTTGGCTATTCCCTCATTTCATTTACATAATATTCGAGCGAATTTGATTGTCGATTTAGTAGTTCCTCACCATGATTATTCGAATAACTACTAATTGTACGCACATTGCACACTGCAATCCGCCGCTATGTAATGCATGCGAGTATGCGATGTGCGGCGTGCGCTGTGCGTCGATGCAACGACGTGTGCTTGTGCGTGGGGTGAACTGCGGAAGATCGCGCGGGCCGGTGCGTGAGGGAGTGTTGAATGCGCTGATTGTTTTTAAGTATTACATAATATATATTATAATTTGTTTACTTTAGTTGCTTATTTACTTGTTTAGAGAAAGGTCATGCACGGGTAATAAATGACCGGCTTGACGTGATGCTTAAAAATCATAATATATTGCAAATATTGAATTAATAAACTTTTAAATACGCTTAGCTTAACAAGACTTTAATACTAGAGAGTCCTGTATTTATTAAATTATAAAGAAATGCTTATTGAATTAAAATTTCATGTGTAAAATTTAAGCAATAAAAATAACATCAAAAATATAAAAAGAAAATACAATACAAAAGCAAGTAATATTTTTACTGTTAATTTTATCTGTTAAAAAGTAACTAAGTTTTAACAAATAAATAAATTTAACCATGAACGCCTTGTCTAGAATGGATGTATCCTCGATCGATGGTTTGATTACAATACAAAACAGATAATTGAATAATCTATTAGCGCCAAGCGCATACCCAATAACTGCAGTCGTAACGTAAGCACAGACTTAGCTTAGCGCAAGCGCGCTGCACACCATCTTTTGTATATACTTATTTAGTAGTACGTATAATGGGTGCGCTGCGCTACAAATTAGTAGTTAAAGTTTACAAGGAAACGGTGTCAGTCATTGTCACCCGCCGCACGCCGTCGATAACAATCGACTAAGATGGATTGTTATCAAATTTTATCGACTAAACTGAACAATCGACTAATTCGATTAGTTTCAGTTAAAATCGCCCATCATTAGTTGCAACACTGCCTACTTCCTGCGCCCGGGTTGATAAGAAGAATTTCTTGACCGAAAACTCTAAAAATAACTGATTAACAGGTCTTACCAAAATCAGTTATTTATGAAGGATCTGCAGTCGCGCGTAAGATATCTAAACTAACGAGGCACTCGAACATGCTATAATTGAATATTATTATTCTAACATCAGCACAAAAATGTACAATAATTGCTTTATAACTCCATTACGCTCAAACAAATGACACATCGTTTTACCATTTAATTTACTAGAGTACGCTGAAAATTAGTTTGAATATGGTTCGAAGATAAGTTAGGTAACTTTTATATCAAGAAGTGTTATTTAAAGGAACCTCAATTTTACTTACATTTTAATAGCGTTAAAATTAGTATAACATTACTTACACCAAACATTAATCATGCAAAACTACTTATGACCTGACAACCTTGCCAATGCCGAAATTCAGTCAGTATAAAAGCTCGGCGACACTTACAAGTTTATTAGTTCACAACAGGTTCACTGTTAACGTTGAATAAACATGTTCTCAAAAGTAAGATTATTTTTTAATAAATTATAGAAATATTACATATCATGGTGCTATTTTTGTAGAGTTGACAATTTTTTTTATATTATACATATATAATTCTATATAATAGATAAGCATAGCATTTCACTATTTTATAATATAATATAATATTTATATTTTATACATACATATTTTACTTTCTTAAACCATCAATAACATAAAGTTACTAAATTGTTACAGATTTTAGCACTGAGCGCCGTTCTGGCAGTGTCTGTGGCAGGGCTCTTGCCTCAACCACACTACTCATCTGCTGCAGCTGTCTCCTCACAGAGCATCGTGCGTCACGACCAACCTCAGGCTATCCACTCTGCACCCGTCGCCGTACACGCCGCCCCTCTCGCCTACCACGCTGCTCCAGTCGCCACTTATGCGGCTCCCGGCCGTTATTCCGCCGGCCATGCCGTGTCCTCTCAAACAATCTTGCGTCATGACCAGCCCCATGCCGCCATCGGAATTGCTCCCGTATCTTACGCAGCGGCACCAGCGCACTACGCCGCGCCTGTCATCAGCCATGCTGCTCCCGTGACCAAGTTTGTTTCCACCGCACAACACGAGGAATACGTGAGTAAATCATATAAACATTAAAGCAGTATTAAAAGTAACAAAAAACAAAACTAATAACAAATATTTAATTGTAAGCTTCGTCGTACTAAGCAGTACGTAACCACGTATTTTTAATTCAAGGCTCATCCTAAATACGACTTCGCATACTCCGTGGCCGATGGACACACTGGCGACAACAAGTCCCAACACGAGAGCCGCGATGGTGATGCTGTGCACGGCGAGTACTCGTTGCTTGAAGCTGATGGCTCAGTACGCACAGTGCAGTACACCGCTGATGACCACAATGGATTCAACGCTGTAGTCAGCAACTCCGCTCCCGCGCATCACAGTGCTCCAGCGCCCACACATTATCTGGCTCATCATTAAGTGACAATCCTGACCGACAACTTTGAATTAGTTATATAATTCATTGTAATTACTTCTATAGAAATAATAATTTATTAAAATTAGTCGTTCTATATCTTTACCGTTTTATTTATTATGAAATGTGATACTGATCCGGAATTTAGATTAAATGACACTGTTTCATAGTATGTAAAATGAAAGCTACAGTTTATATTTCAACGTGGTAGAGCCACGCTGCAGCTGTATTATGGTTACATCATGAATAGGTTGCTAGCTAGAGCGTGGCAGTACCACGCTCTCATAACATACCAGCGTAATACATCAGCTGCTACTGTGTTTCATGTGATTTATATGCAGAGGGCCAGAGGCATTTTTCACTAACAACAAGGCATTCTTTCTAAATCCTTAGTGGTGATAACACTACTATAATTTGATTCTTAATCGAGAATTGATTTAGGTGACTATGGGCGACATCATTTTATCATCTTTATATATAAAAATTACGTGTCACGTTGTTTGTCCGCGATGAACTCCTAAACTACTGAACTGATTTCAATGAAATTTTGCACACTGTGTGCAGTCTGGTTCAATTTGAGAGATAGGATAGTTTTTATCTCGATAAGTGACCCTCAATATTTTTTATTACGAATTTAAGAATTTTTATAGGACACAGGGTCGTCGGAGAGAGCAGAACAACGTCTGCCTGGCCAGCTAATTCTACTATAAAAAATTTGAACATGAAATTTTCGCAACGCAACAACTTATCGATTAGAAATCCGTTAACAGAACTGAACTACGATTCAGGTTATAAAAATACTCCTATAAAATTTTAGGTCTTGTGGAAAAATGAATATTCTTAATAAACTTACCAACCTACTGGTAAGTTTATTAAAAAATATATAATATTTAACTCCAGTATTCCATATAAGGAACATCTATGATTGAAATTGAAAAGCATCGGAACAAGGAAAAAGCGGAGCGGGCGAGAAGGATTCGCGACCTAACACTTAATATTTCCGTAATCCGCTTTTACAAAAAAATTAAAACACGTGATAGATTACAATTTAGATTTTTGTTATTTTAATAAATCTTTTTAAATTAACAAAATGCAAAATTGTAACCCAATCGAGAATAGAATATGCAGATATCCATAGTACATAGCTTCCACCTAATATCAGTTGGACTGTGTTAGTGCGTCATCCTTATTCTATAAAAAATTAAGTTTTCTTTACGACAGTAAGGTTTTCCTAAATAGCATGGAACTGAAAACCCAAATATTTATAATGAAATAAAAAAAAAATTAAAGAAATTACCAAATTTCCCTTCACTTTTGCAACTAAATATGTAAGCATATTTGTGTTTAGTAATAAAATCATCAATTTCGCCCTCGTATGGTAGCAGTGCCATGCGTGGGGCGCAGCGCAAATACCGGCCTTCGACGCATGCTCAAGTTCACATCGCTATATTTCGTCTAAATTTTAATGTAACTAGACCAACCATACCGATAATAAACATGAAACAAAACAGATATGAATAATTTTATATTTTATATATTAAAAATATGAATATTTTTATATAACTATTATGTACAGGAAGCGTGCAAATTTGTAAAACATTGATTTTGTATTAAGATTGCATTTATCCTTGTGTGAATCCCGTATAATTATTTAATTATTACGTCACGCTTGGCAGCTGAGTATATGGTATATGGTAGTAGTTATTAGGAAAACTCTGTTGGCTATTCCCTCATTTCATTTACATCATATGATGTAGTGATATTTTTACAACGCCACTACACGGTCAAGTCAGCCAGTAAATTAACTCGATTTTCTGACCTAGTGCTTTTTGTGCGTGAGTGCTGATATCATTTATATTATGTGGATTGAAATTGAAGCCTATGTCTAGCAACAAACATAAGAGCAGCGGCCAAGCTATAAACCCGAGAATGTGTTTTACCAATAAATAAAAACACAGGACTTGCTGCGGCTTCGGATAATTTTAATTTTTAAGTTATTCTGAACACATAACTCAATAACAGGATCCACATCATATTACCGATATATATAGTACTGATGTTTACTTACACTTTTTATATCAAAAAACATAATTACATCTCCTTAGTTTCCCCGATCCATTTCATCTCAATAAAATTTATAAAGTTAATACCAGACGTGAACGTCTAAAGTCCTTACCGAAATCCGTGTTGATAATTAAGTGGGTGTATGTGAATTTGATTTATTATTTATTATTTCAAATGGATTCAAATACCTTAATTATACTTATTCTAATATTTTTATCTATGCACATTCATTATGTCCCTTTGGTATACTAATTTTATGATTTTCATAATATTAAAAATTGAAAACATCAATAAATGTATGAGTAAAGTATAGATACTTAACTCTTATTATCATTGTCCAAGGTTAACATTGATTAAATACATTTTAAATATTTTATTCATTTATTTATTAATTTAAATAATAATAATTTTAAATATTCTGTTGAAGAACACTTTATCTCTGATATTTGGCTGACGCTTTAACGGCATATAGAGACATCGGGATTTGTTTGAATATGATGCTCCACGTGGCATACATAACACGTAGCACAGCCACGCTGCAGCTATATCTATTGTGGTTGTACGAGGGTGACACTGAAAGTTCTTAGAAAATCAAAAAGTGAACAAACTAGCAAGTTATTAGTTTTATTATATCTTTTCAAAATAGTGTTCATTTACATCAATACATCGCTGCATCTTATGGATACACTGAGAAAAGCACTTTGCCCACTCGTCCTTAGGGGTCTCTTCGACGGTATTTTGAAACGCAACCACTGCTTCCTCGGTCGGAAATAAATAAAAATCGCAAGATTCAAGTTTAGGAATATAGGGTGACCCAGTAATTCTGAGTCTGACGTCGCCAAGTAGTCGATTATTTGCTCTGCGGTGTACGACGAGGCGTTGTCGTGGTGAAGGAGGATTCTACTGCGAGGTTGTTTCTCCCGAACTTTTTCCAAGAGAAGTGGCAAACAATTGTTAGTATACCTTTCTGTAGTAACTGTTTTTTGATCCTTTAAAACAATTGTTGCGTAATGACCTGTCCTTCCGAAGAACGAGGCCTCCATCTTTTTTCCCAAGATTCGACCTCTCTTCACTTTAGTTGGCAAGTCCTCGGAAGGAAACACTCAGACAGCAGACTGTCTCATAGTTTCAGGATCATAACAATAAATCTAACTTTTGTCACCCGTAAGTATGTCGAACACATCATTTGGGTCACCTACGTTAAATCTTTGAACCATTTCACGACACATATTAACACGACGGAGTTTTTGGGCCTCTGTCAAATTATGAGATATCCACCGGGTACAAAGCTTCCTGACCGCTAAATGTTCATGGAGGATTTTGTGCACTTGACTCATACCGATGCCTAAACTTGTCCGAATCTGCTGATAAGTCACTCTTTTGTCAGTCTCTATCATACGCCGCACAACACTGATCTAATACTGCTGTGTTTCGTATGGTGAGTGCAGAGAACCCGATTTACTTTATACTGGAAAGGAGGCATTACATCCTCGGGGGTGATAACGCTGCATTTTGATTCTTAATTGAAACGTGGATGTTTATGGGCTCAGAATACACTTAACATCAGGTGGACTGTGTTCTTGTTGGTTACACTTATTTTATTAAAAACTATGATAAAAAAGGTGCAGGACAGGGTTATATAGTGCATGAGTATGTGCGCAAGGACAAGTGAACTTTCTATTCTCTCATATTTCGATGGCACGGTAATCCGACACGTCCTGAGAGAGGTGAGGCGCAGTACCAAGGCTTTACGTGCTTTACGAGGCATGGGTTGAAACACTTCCTATTTCCTACGACCGCAGTCGCGCTTACGATAACTTAACTAACAAAGCAGTCGAATATAATATAATTTAATATTATTATTCTAAGATCAGCACAAAAATGACGCTGAAAATTAGTTTGAATATCGTTCGAAGATAAGTTTAATTTATATCAAGAAGTGTTATTTAAGGGAACCTCAATTTTACTTACATTTTAATGCGTTAAAATTAGTATAACAATACTTACACCAAACATTAATCATGCAAAACTACTTTTAACCTGATAACCTTGCCACTGCCAAAATTCAATCAGTATAAAAGCTCGGCGACACTTAAGAAATTTATTAGTTCACAACAGGTTCACTGTTAACGTCGAATAAACATGTTCTCAAAAGTAAGACTACTTTTTAATATACAATATATGTATTATAAAGATATTAAATATCATGGTGCTATTTTTGTAGAGTCGATAAACTTTTATTATATAATATACATATATAATTCTATATTATAGATAAGCATAGCATTTCACTATTTTATAATATCTCTATACATACAGATTTTACTTTCTTAAACCGTCAATAACACAAAGTTACTAAATTGTTACAGATTTTAGCACTGAGCGCCGTTCTGGCAGTGTCTGCGGCAGGGCTCTTGCCTCAGCCACACTACTCATCTGCTGCAGCTGTCTCCTCACAGAGCATCGTGCGTCACGACCAACCTCAGGCTATTCACTCTGCACCCATCGCCGTACACGCCGCCCCTCTCGCATACCACGCTGCTCCAGTCGCCACTTATGCGGCTCCCGCTCATTATTCCGCCGGCCATGCTGTGTCCTCTCAAACAATCTTGCGTCATGACCAGCCACGTGCCGCAATCGGAATTGCTCCCGTATCTTACGCAGCGGCACCAGCGCACTACGCCGCGCCTATCATCAGCCACGCTGCTCCCGTGACCAAGCTTGTTGCCACCGCACAACACGAGGAATACGTGAGTAAATCATATAAACAGTAAAGCGATATTAAAAATAACAAAAAACAAAAATAATAACAAATGTTTAATTGTAACGTTAGCTTCGTCGAACTAAGCAGTACTTAACCACGTATTTTTAATTCAAGGCTCATCCTAAATACGACTTCGCATACTCCGTGGCCGATGGACACACTGGCGACAACAAGTCC